TGGCTGGCACCAAACAGATTGTTCTACCAGTTCCTGCAATGAATGTCATTAATGGTGGTTCGCATGCTGGTAACAAACTGGCGATGCAAGTAAGGACTACTTTGAATTTTTTGCACACTATAATAGCAGTATAGTTGGTATAATAGCGGTTTAATAGCAGTATAATAGTTTAATAGCAGTATAATAGCAATAGCACTATAATAGCAGTTCATTTGAAGCAAATTTTCATTTAAATCATCACGAAAAAAATTTAGTATTACAAATTTTTGGCGTTAGAATGATTTTATATTAGAAGCACCCGTCTATTTTAGATGAATTAATTCTAAATTCTTTTATAATTCTAATCAATTCTTGTTAATACATTAATGTTCTTGAATCTTTGATATTCATGTGCGCAATATGGATGTTAATGAAGTCAATTATTTTTTTTCTATAATGCATTGGTTGTCAGCTAATAAAAAAAAAAAAATTTTAGGAATTTATGATTATGCCTGTTGGAGCTAGTTCATTCAGCGAGGCAATGCGCATGGGTTCCGAAATTTACCATTACTTGAAGGTAAAGCTTCTAATTTTGTACAAAGATATTGTGCTTCTATTTCTGAAAATGATTTACTGTTAATTAATGCATAGTAGATGCAATTCAATCAGTTAAGAGCTACGTGCACCATTAATATACTTATTTACTTTTTCTAACAGTCAAATATTGCGCTATATTCATCTTTTGTTTTTGATTACCCTCAAATGTAATTGGTCCGGTAGAGATTTAGACATCGGCGCTTCTATGTTGAAACATTGTATGAGAATAAGGAAGCGTACATTTTGGACTGAGGGTCCTAGTAAGATTGAACTTCAAACATTTTCAGGCGGAGATCAAAAAACGCTATGGTCTCGATGCAACAGCAGTGGGTGATGAAGGTGGTTTTGCTCCTAATATTCAAGATAATAAGGAAGGTCTTGATTTGCTGAATACAGCTATTGCAACGGCTGGATACACAGGAAAAGTATCAATTGCCATGGATTGTGCGGCGTCCGAATATTATAAGGTAAATATTGAATTAATGAAAACATTTCAATAATATTAGGGAAAAGATTTGTATGACTCATTATTATGCTAGCACTACTCATAATTATCTTTGTCTATTATTGGTACTAAAGGAACAATCTTTCAGGAAGCGGATAAGCTATATGATTTAGACTTCAAGAATCCAAATTCGGATAAAAGCCAATGGAAAACTGGTGAACAAATGATGGAAATTTATCAGTCATTCATTAAGGTCTAAGTTTCAGAAGTCATTAATAGAAAGGTCAAATGAAAGCGGTTAAACACTATGCCTCTATATGCCGCGTGCAATTACGCTTGGAAGATCTGCTACGTTGAAAAAAATATAGGAATAGCCTAATAATCTGGTATAATCGAAAAATATTTTGACATGAGTCTTCCAAGACTTTCAGATTATATAATTTCCACTTATTTTTCATATAGTGTTCTGTACGAAATATACCCGGAATTTGATTTTAAGACTTCCTCATGTACTTTATTCCACTGTAATTCCTTTCCAGGAATATCCAGTAGTGTCAATTGAAGATTGGTTTGACCAGGATGATTGGGTCAATTGGACCAAAGCACTGGCCAATACGCATATTCAAATTGTTGGCGATGATTTGACTGTTACAAATCCGAAGAGAATTGCGATGGCTGCTGAGAAGAAAGCTTGCAACTGCCTGTTGCTCAAGGTTGCCTAGCTTTCTTTGTTTAAAATATATTAAATAGCAAAAAATTCCTTTAGAAGACGTCTCTGTGAAATACTTCCTTTTTTTGTTATTTTGCAGTCTTCAGTTTAAAATCGCAGATAGCACTTAATTATAGGTAAATCAAATTGGCTCCGTGACAGAATCAATTGATGCGGCTAACTTAGCTCGTCAAAATGGGTGGGGTGTGATGGTATCGCATCGTTCGGGTGAAACGGAAGATACATTCATTGCAGATCTCGTCGTTGGTCTTGCTACCGGACAGGTTTGGAACTTTTATTCAATTTGCTCAAGTTTTCTATTTTTTTTATAAGTTAAGAATATATATATAAAATTTCGACGTGCTTTAAACTTTTTTTCATTGTAGTCAGTTTTTATAAGGATTTTTAAATTGAGAAAAAATATTGAGATGCATGAATGAAAAGCCTCGTTCAGCGTAAAAGGCAAAAAATTTTATTAAAGTTCCATTTTCTAATCATAAAATTCATTTCGTTCCACTTCTGAATGATATGATTGGTAGACGTTATAGTTATAAAGAGAAGCGACTCACCTAGCTTATTGTCATCCATCCTGGAGCCAGGCATTGTTACCATCATCATTCTGACTTAAAAGTTGTAATTTAACATTCAAAAGGGTGCAGGAATATTTTGAAATGTGAAATTAGTAACTGATATGAATTTCGAACTAATTTTTTTTAGGAAATACTTTCTCTCTCGAAAGTATTTCCTACCAAATCCTTTTCCATATTTCTTTCTAATAATTGTTATGAAAGTAATTACACTGCATTTTTGTTCATGATATAATTTGTAGATCAAAACTGGAGCACCATGCCGTTCGGAGCGTTTAGCCAAATACAATCAGATACTTCGTATCGAAGAAGAACTTGGATCAGCTGCAATTTATGCTGGTCATAAATTCCGAAATCCTCAAGCGTAGATTGTAGGACGTTGATTAAAGAAAAATATTTATTGCATTTTAATGAGCAGTGTATCCCAGATCCCTTCTGTCATGGGTACTATATTAATTGTTGTGCCGTGCTGTGCAGTAATAACAGCTGTTTTAATATCAGTTCATTTAAGTTGATTTTGAACTGTTTTTCGTTGTCCCTAATTTTTATTGTAGTTTTGTAGTTTTTATATAATTCAAGTTATATAAAAATTAAAATTGATGTTGTAATGATAAAATGATTTTTTTGATTCCTTCACGTAGCATTAGAATTAAGATTATGATTAAAGAATATAAAGCAATCATACGGAAACAGCAACGAGTTTTACATTCAAATAAGTGCAAAATCCTATGATGTCATGATGTTCTCAATTTCAGAGGTTTTGGGAAATTGATATTTAATATGCGAGAGTCATAGATGAGTAGTAAGAAGTTGAAAGTTATAAATAAAAAAACAATTAGGCAATGGTAAATTTTCTGGGCTTAGAGCGATGGGAAAGTAATGCTTACTGCAAGTAATGTCACATGAACCATCCAAAATAGAAATGTGGTATCTTCGATTTCACAACTCATCTTTCTCTTCACTTATCTCTGTTCAATCTCAAAGCTCTGCCGTTTCAATCAAAATTTCGGCATTACATTTTCAAATGCATCACATAATATTATGCAGCAAACAAAAATGGAAACGGCGAAGACGTTAAACACGGTTTTATACCTCTTCTTTTATCATTTCAATTAATGTTATGAGTATCTAAACAAATTTATCCCGGCTGGCACAATGTTATCTTATGCAGTGAAGATTTTGCTATTTTTAACTTTAGCAGGTAAATGTATCAAAAATCAAAAAGAAAAAATGAGAAATCAGCCAACGAATTGATGAAATTAGAGGTAGTTTTCTATTATTATAGATCTCATTTTCTTTCCTCGGAAACAAAAATTACATACAATCAAACCTTTCTATTTGTTTTCTTTGATTTAGGATAGTGATGAAATGATTATTATAATATTAAAATATGTGATATATATAGTATCTCTCTCATTATTTCATTTAGCTGGCAATACTTAATGAAAGAAAGACAAACAAAAAAAAAGCGCTCCCAAAATTGTTAATTTTCAAATTATCAATCATTTCATTATTTTTATATTTAATGATGAGGAAAAGGAAAATCATTCCTTAAAATTAATTTGGAAAATTTTTTTGAAGAGAAAAAGATGCATAATTAATTGCAACAAATTCAATGATGAAAATTAATTGTTCTTAAATTTATTTATTTGTAACATTAAAACTTGTTTATCAAACAATTTCAGTAATGTTCTTATTTTCTTCTTTAATTTTCGATTTTATTTCTTCCGCTGTAAATTAATATTTCCTTTTCGTTACTTCGATTTCATCTCATTTTCAACTTATTTTAATTATGATAATTTTTTTTATAAATTAATTATATAAAATTACTTATTTTAATTATAATAATTTTTTTTTTTATAAATTAATTATATAAATTTTGCAAAATTCAGAAAAATTTCTCGGGGTAGAAATATAGTAAATTAATAAAAGTTAAATCAAATTTGGAAATGTTTTCTTTCATTATCTTATTTTATTATCACTCAGAAATTAAGCCGATTTATATGACAGTCAAATTTTAATACCAAATTAGTTTAGCAAAATAATGAATAAAGTATGATATTGCATGAAATTCATTTTATCAAAATTAATTAATGAATTATTTCTTAATTGTTTAATTGATTATATCAATCAATTCTTTTTATTCAACGATAAATTCATCGGTCATAATTAATTTTGAAATTTCACACTCCTTCATAGTAATTTGATGAAACAAGGAATGGTGATATTAATTACTATTAAAATTAATAAACTGATAATTACTTATCGCATCTTTTTTTTCTTGAATTAATTTAAAATTCAGATCGTTCTAATTTATAACGCAATATAACCATTTTTTATAAGTATATACTTCTCAACATAGTTTTCAAGTTATCAGTTTGATAATATGTATTGTTTTAATTTTAATTATTCGTAAGAAGAAGCAAAGAAAAATGAAAATATTCTTCCAATTCCAATATTTTGGAAATAAAACAAAATTTTTATTGAAATTATTTTTTTTCAAAAATTTTTTCCTTACCGGTTTTAATTAACATTTTGAAGTAAACATATATTTACTATTAAATTTTCAATTTTCATTTTTTTCATTCTTTCTCTGCCTCTCTTTTCATTACATACTTTTTACATCATAAATTTATATATTAACCAAAAAATTAAATGAAATTTCTTTTCCTTCATTTATTATTCTATAATTATTTCTCATTAAAAACTATTGGAAATCATTATTGCCAATTTAATTTACATCAAATAGCCGATAATAACAAATTATACGTTAGATTTGCGTGAAATGAACGATAATAATTATAGATTAGATTTATATAAAATGGATAATAATCATAGTAATAAATTAAAATATTTGAAATTATTATCGAAAATTTGATTTGAACAAAATGATCAAATAGACTGTCATCTTGCCATCCTGACAGATAATAAATATTAGGAACGATTTTCTGGAATACTAAAACTAATCAATATCAAAAATTTCTACTTAATTTTGTTCAACAAATATGAATGTAACAGAATTTTAACTGGTTCTCAAAACGTTTTTATGATTTTTATGATCAAAATCCATGCAATAATTTGTGGCATAAATCAAGTTTCAAAATCGCGTTACGTTGATCGTTTTTAATTGACAGTTATCATTTAGCTGCTTGTCGATAAACGAGTAAGCTTTCCATCTTTTAAATTTTTCACCTGTTCATTTAGCAAAAGTCACCTAACTGGTAATAAACTTCGCTAAATTGTTATTAGTGAAAATATCAATTTAATTTATCAAAACGATGTTGTGATGAATAGTTTTACATCAGTAAATTCTCTTTCATCAACTTTCACTTCTACGAAAATTCATCACTTTTCAACATAATTCTATTCTTGTTCTGTATTTTTTTTCTTTTCATGAATTAAACTAAATGAAGCGTTTAATTATTTGATAAATATTTGTTTATTCATTTATTTATAAATAAATATCATACGTGAAATTATTTGATAATTATATATTTGTTTATACATTTATTTATAAATAAATATCATACGTGAAATTTTCTTTCCTAAAAGAAAAACTAAATTGTTTACAATTTAAATTTCTTTTTCGTTGTTTGTTTGTTTTATGAATTTTCATTCGATAATTATCATAATGTGAGCATTCTTTGTATTTTCTAACTTTTCAAATACATTTATTTTCTTCTAATTTTTTGTGTTTACCATTTTTGAAATAAATTTCAAAATTGTTTAAATGCTTTTTTTTTCAAATGATTTTTATGATAGTTTGAACATTTCCCATTTGTAAAATTATTTCTTACTTTTAAAATAAAAACAAATGTTAAATGATACGTTATCTAAAGTTGGAAAATTCAATCTATATAGAAATGATAACAACTGATAAGTATAGGAGAATACTTATAGGAATTATATCTAAATCAACGTGATATATTTCTTTTTTAAATGATACGTTATCTACTAATATAGGCGAGTACTTATGGGAACTATATCCAAATCATTATCGATCACTGTATAAAATTAAATGTTCCTTGTAATTAACCAAATGACATTATAACCATCAAACCAAATGATACATATACTTCGAAGAATTGAATGCTATTACAATCAATAGTAGTTGTAATATTATCATCATTAGATAGATTATTAATTATTCATTGCAATATCATTTTGTTATAAAAACAATTTCAATTTGATTGAAACATATTCTAATGCTAACAGAAAAAATTATTCGGAAAGATATTTTGAAGTTCAAAAAGAAATATTGTACAAAGAGAAATGGATGAATTTGAAATAATTTTGTATGAATAGTTGAAGAATGATGAAGATGTGAAATAACACGAAATGAAATAATTTCAACAATTTCAATGATGAAAATATAACAAATAAATATGGGAAAAAAGGAACGGTGAAATTAAATATCAACGAAAGACATTCTTAATTAGTCAATTTAAATTTTGCAAAATGAACAACAATATAATTACGGTAGATTAGGTTTGATAAAAAGTAATTGTGAAAAGGAAATATTGAAATAAGAAGAAGAGGGAAAAAAGAAAGATAGAAAATTTATATTTTTTCATTCCAGCAAAATCATTCAAATAAAATAAAGGAGAAGATGTAATTTTGTCAACGAAGTAATTTTGTGAGAGAAATTATTTTAAGCTTAAAATGGCTAAGTAATTAATTAATATTTTCATTTCATTTCTTTAATTAAAACTTTACTTTCAATAATTGAAATGTTTGCTTTAATGTTTCGATTGAAATGTTTGTTTTAATGTTTCGATGAATTTTGTTTATTTATTAAACGAATTTATTTTTTGTCTTACATTAAAATTCTTTTTTTTAAGTTTAATTAATTGATTGATTAATTATTGTTTATTGTTTGTCACTTAATTATTTTGCATTAATTATTTAGTTACTTAAATGATTATTACGGAAATTAATACTAAAAATTAAGTTATCACTTAGAGGTACTTAAATTTAGTTATTTAGTCACTTGAATGATTGATTATTTAAGTTTTTTAATTAACTACTTATGATTTACTTACTATATCATTTATCTACTTACCTATTTACTTAATTCTTTACCTTATTATCTAATTATTACTTATTGTTGCCATTTAAATAGTTAATTCCAACATTTTCGGATAGTTATAAAAATGAGAAATTGTAAATTTTCATTCAATATTCATTTGTTTACTTTTTCGCCTTGTAAATATAAGATGAGACCATTACAATTTACTTGAACCAACAATATTCATTAACTATCAAGTAGACTAAAGGAATTAATATAATGATAGAAAATGAATTTCAGTTAAATTATTAATATCCTTGGAATTTTTATTTTGACAAAATTTACTGCATGATCGCATCC